ATGATTAATACCTGTGACTTGCTTTCTGCCAATTCTGTGCTGTAAACTATTCATTATATTACTCATTCATATGTGACAATTGAGTGACATGAAATTTACTGGGAAGAGTACAGTGGTGCCCCGCAAGACGAATGCCTCGCAAGACGGAAAACCCGCTAGACGAAAGGGTTTTCCGTTTTGGAGGTGCTTCGCAAAACGAATTTCCTATGTGCTTGCTTCGCAAGACGAAAATGTCTTGCGAGTTCCTGCAGGGTTTTTTTCCTTTCCCCCCCTTTTTCCCAAGCTGCTAAACCGCTTATCAGCTGATGGCTAAGCCGCTTATCAGCTGATCTTTAAGCCGCTTAACAGCTGATGCTAAGCCGCTTATCAACTGATCTTTAAGCCGCTTAACAGCTGATGCTAAGCCGCTTATCAGCTGATCTTTAAGCCGCTTAACAGCTGATGCTAAGCCACTTATCAGCTGATCGTTAAGCCGCTTATCAGCTGATCTTTAAGCCGGCTAAGCCGCTAATACTGTAGCGCTAAGCCGCTAAACCTCTAATGGGCTTGTTTCGCAAGACGAAAAAACCCGCAAGACGAAGAGACTCGCGGAACGGATTCTTTTCGTCTTGCGAGGCACCACTGTAATTTCACATTTTAAAAACAGCAGAACAATTAGAGTCGCTACCAAGTTACTACCCTTTTCCCTCCATTCAAACACCAAGTTTAGAAAGTTCGACAGTAAAGCAGCAAGAGCACATGTGTAGTAACAGTGGCTCAGGACCTCAATACCTCAATACCTCAAGGACCATCTCTTTCCATATGAATCTACCTGGACCCTGAGATCATCTTCTGAAGCCCTTCTTCATGTGCCTCCTCCTTGGGAGGTCCAGAGGATGGCAACATCTCTGCAGTGGCTCCCCATCTGTGAAATGCTCTCCCCAAGGAAGTTCACCTGGTGCCTTCATTATACACCTTTAGGGGCCAGGCAAAAACGTTCCTTTTTAACCAGGCCTGTGCTTGGCATACCCTTTTAAAATGTGGCTCTTTTGGGGTGGGGAATTATTGGGTTATTGCTTTTATTTTTATTTTACATACTGCGATCCTTTTCTGTGAACCATCCTGAGACCTCTGGGTATAGGGTGGTATATAAATTCAACAAACAAACAAGCAGGTAAAGATGTACAGGCCCCTCAAGACCCCTTCGCTGCATTGTTTTTGGCGCCTGCTAAAAATAAATAAATCCCAGCAGTCCTAGCCAGGCATGCAGTTTTAGCATGCAGCTTTAGCATGTGATTTCAGTACAGATAATTGTTTTGAAATTACTGATTTTATTCTATATTTTTAATTTTTTAATGGAACTTGTTTTAAATATTTGCTTTTAATTGTATTTTAATTAGTATTTCAAATATACTTTTGTAAAACATTTACAGGGGTTTTGTTTGAGTAAGTGGTATATACATTTTGTTAAATAAAGAGGTTAGATAGAAAGATAGATGATAGATAGATTAGATAGATAGATGATAGATAGATAGATAGATAGATAGATAGATAGATAGATAGATGATAGATAGATAGATAGATAGATAGATAGATAGATAGATGATAGATAGACAGCTATGTCCTCTTTAGCCCAGATTTCCTCAACTTGATATGATATGCACCACAGATTGAGGGGCCCCAGTGTAATGTGCATGTGTGATGTCACAAATGTGCAATGCTGGGCTCCACGCTTGGCCTCCTCCCGTTGTGCACACGACACAGTCTGTAGCTGCTGCAGCAGGATGAGACACACACACATCATCAGTAGGACGCCAGTGGGGGGTGACTTGGCCCACTGCTAGCAAATATAGAGCCCATAGAGCTGGTGCCTACGCCTTCATTCAAGTGTGGCAAGACCCATCTGGATGAGCAGCTTAGGATGCAGTAAATCTCTGTCTTAGCTGGCTGATCCATGGCTCAGCTGGTGTTAAGTCTCTGACCCCAGCTCATCCAAAAATACACCACCATAGCTTGCTCACCCACATGCAGCCATGGCTCAGGGGCATGGTGGGGTTGGGACCAGAGAGGATGTATTTAGGCTGGATCCTAAGCCCATTCAGCTCAGTCAGGTGACCTGGCAACCTGATGTAGAACACTATTTTAAATATTTATTTTCCCTCTGCCAGGCTTGGGCCCACTGCTAAATGCAGCTTGGATCTGGTGCAGTGTCTCACCAGCTTAGTTTACATCCGCTTGGTTTACACTAGCTTCTTGTGGCTTGCTCACTCAGAGATGCACAGCTTTAGCCTTTCCCAGCTTGCTGCTCTTTAGATGTTGTTAGACTACAGCTGTCACCATCCCTGACCATTAGCTATGCTGTCCGGGGCTGATGGGAATAGTAGTCCAACAACATCTGGAGCACGCCAAGTTGGGAAAGGCTGCACTGCTTCATCCTCTGGCAATCTCTCCTATTCAGTATGAGAGGCCCGTTTTTAAGAGCCCTCGGGGAAGTGACTGATCATACTCTCACTTTAGGCAGGAGTCTGTTCTTAGCCCAGAAGAGCTCACTGCTCATTCAATTTTGCAATCTTTAATCCATTTTACATGCGGGCCTCTCAAGTGCTGGGAGAGAGACAGGAGAAGAGTAGATTAAGAATTTTGCTTTTATGTTGTTTATCTATTTATTAAAATATTTATATACAACTTTTCATGCACAACAAAGCACTACACAAAAACAAAGTACCATAAAATTAAAAAATTCAGAACAAAATAGCTATTGCTAAATCATTTTGTGGGACCATCAAACATCCACTGGCTCTGCACCACTGTGCAACCTTGCAAGCTTCTGGCTGGCAAGGGTCTTGGTCCTTGGATCTGAGGTAGGACCTGATCTGAAAAAAGAAGAATGCCAACAAAGAATATCTCACCCATTTCTAAGTTGTGAATGAGCTCTTCAAAACTTAGAGTAGCTTAGTTTGTGTGACATGAGTGATAAAGTTATGCTACCTTTGTAAAGCAACCATTCAGAACTCTCTAAGATGTTGTTTTTCACTTGAGTGGCCTTTGGAAATATGTAAACCTAGTTCAACATTTTCAGATGACAAATTCAGTGAAAATCATGCAAAGTTGTTCACTCACCTAGGACTTTTAGAGACAAAACATAATAAAACCAAGTTAAAAGTATATCTGCAGAAGGTAAGCATGTAAAAAATAATTCTTTTGAGTCTGACATGGGTTAGTGTGGGACAAAAATGACTTACTACTCTCAGTTAAATATAGGAGTGGGATTCTAAGGAAAGAGGACTAATTGGCAACCCACAGTTTTTCACTCTTTTTAGGATTTTTGACTTTTATATAAACTACCTATCCAAGTCTGAAGAAATCAGGCACTAATGAAATGGTTCAGAAAATGTGTCTTTGGTAGGTTAAAGGAAAACATCCCTTTATGCCTGTGCAGGCATAAAGGGTCCTGTCCTTTCAAACCCAACTATATCTAGTAATTAAGTCACATCCACTTAAATTTCTGATACTACTGATTTATATTATACTACAGACTCAAATGATATAAGATAATGCTGAAGAACTGATCTGATTTTCCCCTCCTAGTTCTTTCAGTTTTCCTCAGTAGTAGAAATGCATAATTAAATTTATTCTCCCTCACACACAATCTATAAATAGCCACTTACTATAATAGAAGTGATGTCTTCTGTGTTGCTGAAATGGCAGTAGGCAATTCACATTTGGGGTTTCTTTTTTTAAAAAAATCTAGTTTAGGAATGGAAGCTTGCTAGGATTTTAGGCAAGCTGTCCGTAACCAGTCATTTGAAAAAAGCCATTTCTGTGAGGGGAAAACAAAGGTCATACAAATAGCCCCGTGAACAAAGCACCATCACCCTTCCATGTGATTATCTAAGATGTTCTGCCCAAGTTTCAGTTTGTAATAGTGGGTCATAAGGCCAATTTAATGGAAGAACTAGACTCAGTGAGAAATGGAGGGCTTAGATAAAGAGATGCCTCAATGCAGGCTTCCTCAACCTTGGGCCTCCAGATGTTTTGAGACTACAATTCCCATCATCCCTGACCACTGGTCCTGCTAGCTAGGGATCATGGGAGTTGTAGGCCAAAAACATCTGGAGGCCCAAGGTTGAGGAAGCCTGCCTTAATGGACTGTCTTAACCTGGTCTCCAAAGCATAGGAACAAGGCTGCTAGGAGTTGCATATGGGGGTCAGGGTGGCGTAGGGCCTGAGTTCACCTTCCCTCTTTTCCTACTAGCTCAGATTATTAGATATTATTTATTATTTTAAAACTGTTGCTTTCTCTTACATAAGGAGTTCCGTATACTGAGTTAGATTACTGATCCAATTTAGCCCAGTATTGTCTCTTCTTGAGACTTACTCTGCACCCACACCATATAATACCATGAATGCAGTTTTTCAAAGTACTGTAGCAGGAAAGGGGTTCTGCTGCAAGAGACAAACACTCATGGTGTGGTTTGCAGTTAAAGAGTCATTCAAACAGAGTTCCCCACAACATGCCATCCCGCTGAAAGCAATGCAAGCAAAGCAAGTAGCTGACTCTGAACAAGTCTGGATGTCTTAGAAAGAACCACTAGAATACTAGTGGACATAATATTGGACGTTGCCCACAGAACCGAATCATTAGTCAGCCACGAAGCCTATTGGGTGATCTCAGGCCAGTCTATAACTCCATCTATCCTTACGGCATGCTTTTTGGAATGTTTCTCTTTTATCCCCACGAAAGGATTTCTGACGTTCTTGGAAGATGAGCCACACTCGTCTCTCTCCTTCCAATCTGGTTTCAGACACTAGCATGTGACAAAGATACCTCCCATCTGCTTTCTACACTGCAGAGAATAGTGTGGGGTCTACCCTTGAGGGAGCAGCAACAACACCAAACAGAGAAATAAGCCAAAGCCTCATGCAGCCAGCACTCTGTTGTCCCTACAGCCTTTCTGAACCCCCCCCCCCCCCCCGGTCAGGTTTATTCATTTAATCTACTGTTTGTTAAACATCTTTCAATGGTTTAAAGACAGAGTTGGGAGAGGCTCACTATTTGCTGGTTTGCAAATAGTGAGCCTCTCCCCACTCTGTCTTTAAACCATTGCTGGCTCAAATATTTTTGCTGGTTTAAATGTGTGTGTGTGTGTGTGTGTGTGTGTGTGTGTGTAAAGGGACCCCTGACCATTAGGTCCAGTCACGGACGACTCTGGGGTTGCGGCGCTCATCTCGCTTTATTGGCCGAGGGAGCTGGCGTACAGCTTCTGGGTCATGTGGCCAGCAGGACTAAGCAGCTTCTGGCGAACCAGAGCAGCGCACGAAAACACTGTTTACCTTCCCGCCAGAGCGGTACCTATTTATCTACTTGCACTTTGACGTGCTTTCGAACTGCTAGGTTGGCAGGAGCAGGGACCGAGCAACGGAAGCTCACCCCGTCGCAGGGATTCGAACCGCTGACCTTCTGATCGGCAAGTCCTAGGCTCTGTGGTTTAACCCACAGCACCACCCGCGTCCCATATATATATATATAGAGAGAGAGAGAGAGAGAGAGAATTAAGTGAAAATCACATTCCAATGAACACAAGTATGATGGCTCAAAAATCCTGCAGCCGCCCAGGTATTTGTAGCAAAAGTTTTTTCACAACTCACATATGGCTCCCAGGTATGCAATTATAAAAACACCGCTCCTTTTGAAATTTTACAAATTAAATTTTATTGCTTTTTGCTGGCGATTCCATCCTGTGTGCCCAATGTAGCAGTTCACCTGGAAGCTGGACAAATCCCAGTTATGTCTCGTATACAGATTCTGAAGATCCACAATTGACTAAAATTGATTTTCTTCTCAGTAGGTCTGGCACCCTTAACTCTAATAGATACACATCAAACAAAGTAGAAGTCCTCACTGCAAGAGAAACTGAGAAGCCAAGGGTTCTCACCTTAGGCTGTGATAACCTGTGAATATGAGAAAGTCAAATCCACAATTAAGCAACATATTTGGGGTGTTGAATTGCAATGCCATGTGTGTGAAATGACCAGGTACCCAGAAATCAAAGAGAATGGGTGGGGCTTTACTTCAGTGGGTATTTATCCAAGGTAGGTAAAGGTAAATTTAGAAGATCTTTTACCCTTGCCAGATTCAGTGTCCTACCATCTGCATTACTGCAGGGCAGATTTGAAGGTAAACTACCGTATTTTTTGCTCTATAAGACTCACTTTTTCCCTCCTAAAAAGTAAGGGGAAGTGTATATGTGTCTTATGGAGCAAATGCAGGCTGCGCAGCTATCCCAGAAGCCAGAACAGCAAGAGGGATTGCTGCTTTCACTGCGCAGCGATCCCTCTTGCTGTTCTGGCTTCTGAGATTCAGAATATTTTTTTTCTTGTTTTCCTCCTCCAAAAACTAGGTGCGTCTTGTGGTCTGGTGCGTCTTATAGAGCGAAAAATATGATATATTCAGAGCGAATACGCCCATGCAGTTTGAAGGAAGTTTAAACTGTTCCTCATGTCCTATTATATTCTCATTACTATAGGAACATACTGTACATTCGTTATTTATCACTCCAATCATGCAACGAACCCCAAGCAGATGACCACTACTTAAAATATCTAATAGAGGAGAGGGAACCAGAGATTACCTTAAAAGTGGCCAAGTTCCATGCTGTTGCTATAAAACTAAGGAGACAAGCTCTGAATGAATCTAATGCCCAATGTCTTAACATACATATTTTAAATTAGCGGTTAAGGTCTTAACCTACATATTTTAATTGTTTTATATCTGAATTATTTACCATACTCTAACTTATACAGTTTAATTTTAACCTATGTATATTTACATGTTCTCTGTAGCTGTATATGTCTGTATTTCTTTTCTGAGCCATCAAATTCTGGCTTTGAATTTGATGGCTCAGAAAATATGCCCTCAGGAAAATTACGTCTGCACTGCTGCTCTCTGTTAAAAATATCCTCTACCCTCCAATAGTATGATATCTTTTGCCTAATTTATCAAGAGACATACACTAATGGCAGAAACAGATAAAGTTCACCTACTTAATGCTTGAATATTCATGTCTGTTGAGAATGTGTTTGTATTTATTAACTCTACAAGCAAGAGCTGACATTAAGCGCTAAATGCCAATGATCCACAAACCTCCTAAGTGCAAGTATACTTACTTTCAGGAGACATAAACATCATGTTGTATCAAGGTTCTGTGCAGAATGTGTGTGATGCGTGACATAAATGGCAAAGCTCATTTGAAAATTCACACTTTATTTTCTACCCTCACAGAAAGCATTTGTTTCCAAAGGTGGTTATGAGCAGTTTAGCTTCCCCATGAGAGGAGTCTTTTGAATTGAAGTAAGAAGTGCTGCATTACTTTCTTGAAGGGGAGGAAAAGGTTGTTCCTTGCCTTCTGAAGCATTAGACCAACTCACACATTCAACTGAGGGGGTAAATTTAGGTGGCTACCAGGCCTAGCATCACCATTCATCATCCTCAGATAGTTGCCACCACCCTGGTACTCAGCAGGGCTGCTGCTGGCACTATCGCTTCCAGGCGCCAAGGCCATTGTGCCCCTGATCCACAAGCAGTCGTTAAATCATCAATGGGATCTTCATTGCCATGGAGCACTTAATATACGGGGGGGGAAACAGCCCAACACTCTTGTGATATCCAGTTAATCCAGGCACTTTGGGGAGTCCTTTTAAACTGTCATGAAATAAATGAAGAGGAATTTAACCACATATTCCTGGGGGAAGCTCCCAGCATCCATCCATATACTGCCCAGGCTCCTGTGTGACTGAGGTTAAGTAACAGGTAAAATTAGAGCATGTGCTTGGCGACATAAAGCTGAGGTCATCTAAGTTTTCCTGTTCTAATGAGCATTATTATTACTGTTGGGTTGTTATTTTTACTGTTATATTTCTCGACCACCCTTGAACCCAGAAGATCCTTTGTCAGCAGCCAATCAGTCAAATATAATAATTTGCAGGTATATATTTTTAATAACCTATTTCTACCATGATACAAAATGAGTTGCAACTTGTTTGTATCTCTTCAGTATTTGAACTTTTAGCTACCTATCCTTAAAAACATCATGTCGATTCACATAGCATGGCCAGGTCATGTGCACAGACAGGACACCAAATTAAACTCTTTTAAAGGTTACAGGTGACCTATTCAGTCAATAAAAACAACTCTGTTTCTGACTATTGTCATAATTAAGGAACAATCAGCTGCAAACATAAAAATGGATCAGTTTGAAATTTATCAGAGAGAGAGAGAGAGAGAGAGAGCACTTCATTGGACATCAAGTTTTAGAATTATGAGAGAAGTAAACAAATAACAACAACCCTCTCTACTCACTTTCTCCACATCATTCATAATCTTAAACACATATGTTTTTATTTTTTTATTTTATTACAAAGATTGAATTAGGACTGGTATCCAGTGGCAATAGTTGCAATTTTTCCAATTCTCAACCATTTTTCCGAAGTCAGCAATGCTCCTCAAAGAGACTAAAGCCTATGCTATCTAGAAGCCAATTCTACTGAGTCCAACAGGACTTAATCCCAAGTAAGCATGTGAAAAGATTGCAGTCTTCATTTCACAATGTTGCATGTATTTGTTTTTAGAAACACATAAAAATGCCTTTAAGCATAACTCCACTTAGTCATTTATAAATGAGACAGTAATATTGACTAAGTAATACTTCATATCTCCAAGCCATTTCACTGAAAAAGGGAGCAATTCTATATTATTAAATCAAAGCTTAAATTGTGTTGGTTGGTGTGTTTTTTGGACTGTGCCATCAGAATTCAAGGAAATGACTCTTTCTCCTTTTACTACAGCAAACAGAACAAACTAATGTTTCTGAGGGCTGCATGCGTCTTCCATTAAAATAATTTTAGATTGACCTGACTATCAACCTCAACCCTTTGGAGATATTCAAACAACATTTGAAGGTAACAAGCAACATGGGTGCTCTGGCACCTTGGACCAGGGCCTGACAGGTTGCCTCTTCTGCTCTCGGACTTCTAGCAGGATAGCACACTCAGTAACTGGTTGATCTACAGGGGTTAGCAAGAGTTGCACGTGCTTTAATGAGACAGATTTGGATGCGGAACACTCCATTTAGCCTGTTAGGTTGACATTCAAAGCAGCAGCTACACATATCTATCTGTAGAAGTGCCACCAACAAAGGATGCTTCGCACCAAAGAAACTGCTTGCAGGGTGGAAATATTCAGCTGAGGAAGTAGGACTAAGTCAATAGAAACTGGCTTAGCTGTTTGTGGATTCCACTGAAGACAATGGGTCAAAGTGTTATAGGCTACACATAAGGACACCAGAGGCTGATTTATGCCAGTTTGGACTATGTGTCCATCTAGCCCAGCCTAGACTACACAATGGTTAGCCATTGTGAGAACAGGATGCTGGACAAGATGGGCCTTTGTTTTAATCCATCAGGTCTCTTTTGTGAACCTATAATCTGGTTCTGGGGATGCGGGTGGCGCTGTGGTCTAAACCACAGAGCCTAGGGCTTGCCAATCAGAAGGTCAGCGGTTTGGATCCCCGTGACAGGGTGAGCTCCCGTTGCTTGGTCCCTGCTCCTGACAACCTGGCAGTTCGAAAGCATGTCAAAGTGCAAGGAGATAAATAGGTACCGCTCTGACAGGAAGGTAAACGGCGTTTCCGTGCGCTGCTCTGGTTTCGCCAGAAGCGGCTTAGTCATGCTGGCCACATGACCAGAAAAACTGTCTGCGGACAAACGCTGGCTCCCTCATCCAGTAAAGTGAGATGAGCGCCGCAATCCCAGAGTCATTCGTGACTTAACTGTCGGGGTCCTTTACCTTTACCTTTTCATTTTTATTTTTTTAAATAATATTTATTAAAATTTCACAAGAAAAAAAAAGAAAACCACATTAATGAAGAAAAAATTAACAATAAAAAGAAAGAATACAAGGTAAAAAAGGAAATAACAATTAAAAACAATTTCATCTTTTCCTCACTTCTTTTACATTTACTTGTTTCTCGGACCTCCTCTTACCTCCCTCTTTTGTATTCTAATTAAATATGTTAGTCCAACAGTTCCTTTCCCTTCTTTTTAATCC